CTATGACGTTTATCAGCCTTTTTAACTCTTACTCCTGATGATTTACGTCCGCTTGACGCAAACTACTTATTATAAGTGATTTAATGACTCCTACCTTAACACCCTATTTATGATTCGAGTAGAAATTAAGAAGGATACTCGCATTTGTGGGGCTCCTATAAACGGATCTACTTATTTGTTGCCTTCTTTAATAAATGGTATAGATAATTGGAGGTGTGGAAAATGAATGCTCTTCTCCAACATAACGCTAGACCTCTTAATGCATATCGTCTTCATAAAATTTGCAAAGAGGGGGTCCCATCTAGGATCATTGTTTATAATATGAATGTGATGCATAAAAAATCACGATTCCTTTGTAGTCAATTTAGACAAATCTCAGGTTTTTGGAAATTTTAAATTTTAAAATCTTAATACATTACAAAGTTAATGGATGCGCAAATACTTAAATAAGAATATTTCTAGCAAGTTTTGATGTAGTATCGATGTACATGAATATACCGGTGAGTGGAGCTATATAGGCATTCGGATTAACCTTAGATCTACATCCAGAAATTATATCAGGAAAGCATGTGTCAATTATGAGATTGATGAACTTAATAATGAATGTTACATCTTATACATTGACCTAGTGTTAACTTGAGACTTTTACACTAATAAGTTACAGTTCTGATGATTTCCATCATATGATGGACGAAGGTTTGGCCCAATTCGACCCTAAACGAGAGGGGATACCATGTGGAATGAACGCGGTATTAAGGCCAAATGGATGCAAAACAATGGGAATCGGCTGTTATTTTCCGGTGAGATCAACCAACGAATCTCTTCATCATGCACTTTCATACAAATTAAAAGTCTTCCCAATAAAGTTATCACGAGAGACCTGTCGAAACCCAGTTTATTTTCATATCCACAGGATGTTGCTGATTTAGGCGGCATGGCTACCACCGTTGTTGTTACAGTAGAGCTATAATGGCTGCATTGAATATGACGAAGGACTGCCAACAAAATATAAAAATAGGAGTGACTGTGGGGAGGGCAACAAGAGCGTTGATTCGAAGATGTTCCTTAGTTTTTACTATGGGCTTGATGATGGCAATTATTACTTTCATTCGGAGTGTTCCATACGACGTGTCTATGCTTATTTGGGTTAAGTAAAAGTTTGTGTCATAAAGAGATTTGTAGCTAAATCCAACCGGAAGATTACGGCGGATTCCTCTTGATCATCTAGCCACATTTCTGGCATCCAATGTATTTTATGCTGATTCTGGTGGCCTCCATAATGTTGCGTTTAGCAGCAGCCATACCTTAATCAGCAAAATTTAAGTTTGGACCAGTTTATCGTACGTTTTGCTTATGTGTGTTATACGACCTATCTTTAGACTTTTCAGCCTTTGCTGGCACATTTCTGCTCAAATACGAATGTGATGAGCATTAT